CAGCAGCAGCAGCAGCAGCAGCAGCAGCAGCAGCAGCAGCAGCAGCAGCAGCAGCAGCAGCAGCAGCAGCAGCAGCAGCAGGTACTTGCGAATGTGGGCGCTCAAGCGGTGGCTGTAAACCGCAAACTCCTTTCCAAAAGTTGTGGGGCTCGCGGGCTGGCCATGAGTCCTTGCGAGGAGCGGCGTTGCTGCGTGCTGCAGTTCAAACCCTAAACCCTAAACCCTAAACCCTAAACCCTAAACCCTAAACCCTAGGCCCTGTTGTGCGGAAACAGCGGGCAGACGCGGCTGGCGGCGGCTGCGCAGCCGCAGGGTGGGAGGCTTAGCGCGGGGCGGCGCAGGCCCGGCAGCAACGGTTTAGGGTTTAGGGTTTAGGGTTTAGGGTTTAGGGTTTAGGGTTTAGGGTTTGCCTGGGCGGCGAGGGTTTGGAGCCTGCGGACAATGGCCCGCATTTGCGGCAGCAGCACTTCTTGCAAAACCCTTTTCGTCATTAAAGAATAAGCGACGCTATTAACGTCTTCGCTGGTGAGTAAAATGTGCAGCAGTTCTTGCAGGCTGGCCAGCGAGCAAACCCTCGCCACCCGCTCCTGCACCAAACCCTAAACCCTAAACCCTAAACCCTAAACCCTAAACCCTAAGCCTCCGCCCGAGCCCCGCGGCCCCGCCGCAACCCTCCACGCCCCCAAACCCTGCCTCGACGCGAAAACCCGGGAGCCAAACCCCCCAGCTGGAAGCCCCGCGAGAGTGCAAACCCTAAACCCTAAACCCTAAACCCTAAACCCTAAACCCTAAACCCTAAACCCTAAACCCTCGTACTCTGAGGTAATACTCCACAGCCTTCACGTCGTGCTTCGTCTCTTTTTCTATTTCCAAAATCCTTTCCAAGTTTTCGTCTGTCACTTCGTAAAGGGGCTCCAAGTCGCCTGCAGGCCCGCAGGCGCAACTAGGGTTTAGGGTTTAGGGTTTAGGGTTTAGGGTTTAGGGCTGGGTGCTGGGAGGCGTTAGAGCGCACGCTGCTGTTCCGCCGTCAAAGGCACTTTGGGGTGGACGTTGGCGACGAAGAACTCCAGCCACTTGAGCTGCGCGCAAACCCCAAACCCTAAACCCTAAACCCTAAACCCTAAACCCTAAACCCTAAACCCTAAACCCTCGCGAGTAAACCCTCACCTCGACGTACACGCGCAGCCGCATCAACTGGCAGTCCCCCCAAACCCTCCGCAGCTCTTCTGTGGCGCTGCGGTATCTTCCATCAAGGGGGCAGAGGTTGTTGAGGAGGTTCATTTTCTAGGGTTTAGGGTTTGCGCGAGGGTTTGCGGCGAGGGTTTGCGGCGAGGGTTTGCGGCCCCGGGGCTAGGGTTTAGGGTTTAGGGTTTAGGGTTTGGCGCCCGCAGCTTCCTGTCGCGTTCTGAGGCACGCAGAGAAGAGCCACGAGCGCCCGCGAGGGTTTGGGATTCGGGCTAGGGTTTAGGGTTTCGCTAGGGTTTAGGGTTTCGCTAGGGTTTAGGGTTTCGCTTGGGTTTGCAGCCTGCAGGCAACCCGGGGCCCCGCGCAGCAGGAAAAAGGCGGAAATGCATAAAATTGCATTTATTTAAATAAAAGAAATCAATAATTGCATTTAATTAAATAAAAGAAATCAATTAAAGTTAAAAAGAAAAGAAAGGACAAACTGGGGGGCCCCCTGCATGCATCGAGAGCTTCCAAGTTCCCTGTGGTCTGCGGCTGGCTTGTCTTGTTCGCACACCAGCTGAAACGAAATAAATTCATTAAAATAAATATATTTATTGATTTAAAACAATAAATTTATTTATTTTAATCATTAAAATAAATATATTTATTCTAAAAGAGCCCTCGCAGCTCAGCTGCAAGCCACCCTCGCTGGGGTGTCTGTACACCCCAGCACCGCCGCAGCGTCGGCGTTCAGAAATTCTCCTTTTGATTCATTTCTGAATTATTATTTCGCATTTTTTTGAAACTTTGAATTATTTTAATTATTTTATTTTCAAATTTGCCAAAATGTTTCAAAATTTTAAAATTCTCCGCCGATTTCCGCGAGGCTTCCCACCCCAGCTGCTGCTGCCGTCGATGCTGCGTCTGAGGAAGCAGCAGCAGCAGCAGCAGCAGCAGCAGCAGCAGCAGCAGCAGCAGCAGCAGCAGCAGCAGCAGCAGCAAAACAAATAAAGGCAAAGCCGATCTACAAATAAATAAATCCTTTTTGTTTTATTTCATTTATAAATAATAAATCCATTTTGTTTTATTTCATTTATAAATAATAAATCCTTCTTGTCTTTATCGTTTTTAATTTCAAAAATCCAAAATAAATTTAATTCAACTTTTCCCAAGGGTTTGAAGCCACCGCCTGCACACTCCACACGCAGCTAGCTGCAGCACACTGTGGCTAGCTGCTGCCAGCCCCAGCTAGCTAGCTGCAGCTAGCTGCGGCTAGCTGCTGCTAGCTGCTGCCAGCTCCAGCTAGCTAGCTGCTGCTAGCTGCTGCCAGCTCCAGCTAGCTAGCTGTTGCTAGCTGCTGCTAGCTGCTGCCAACTCCAGCTAGCCGCTGCTGGCTGCTGCTAGCTGCTGCTAGCTGCTGCCAACTCCAGCTAGCTGCAGCAAGCTGCAGCTAGCTGCATCTAGCCGCAGCTAGCTGCAGCAGCAAGCTGCATCTAGCGGTGGCTAGCTGCTGCCAGCTGTGGCTAGGACCTGCAGTTTGCGGCCAATTGCAACTTGCCGTAGCTAGCTGCTGCTGCCTGTGGCTAGCTGTAGCTAGCTGCTGCTGCCTGTGGCTAGCTACAACTGGCCGTAGCTATCTGCTCCTTGCTGTTACTAGCTGCTGCTGCCTGTGGCTAGCTGTGGCTAGCTGCTGCTGCCTGCTGTGGCTAGCTGTGGCTAGCTGCTGCTGCCTGCTGTGGCTAGCTGTGGCTAGCTGCTGCTGCCTGTGGCTAGCTGCGGCTAGCTCTTAAAGGAAGCAAACGGAAGCAGCAAAAAGGAAAAATAAATAAAATAAATAAAAAATAAAATAAATAAAATAAATAAAATAAAAATAAAACAATTAAAAACAATTTAAAATAGTTTGAAACAAATGCTGCAGAGACACTCAAAGTCTACTCCCCTCGAAGCAGCAGCAGCAAAGACAAACAAAGACACGGAAACATTGGCTGCGCAGCGCTGCTGCTGCTGCTGCTGCAGCAGCGGTGCTGCAGCAGCAGCAGCGCCGCTGCTGCTGCTCTATTGCTGCTGCTGCAGCACCGCCGCTGTTGCGCCTACAGCGCTGCTGCTGCTGTTGCTGCTGAAGCGCTGCTGCTGCTGCTGAAGCGCTGCCACTGCTGTCACTGCAGCACTGCTGCTGCTGCTGCTGCTGCTGCTGCAGCAGACGTGGGGCAGCAGCAGCAGCAGCAGCAGCTGGCAGCAGCTGAAATGGAATTTGTGAAATGAATTGAACTAAATTGGAAATTGGAAAAGAAATGGCGGGGAGTTAATTTTCTAGAATTTGAAATAACAATAAAAAGAAACGCAAGTCTAAAGCCCTTTCATTGCTGCTGCATGCAGCTGCTGCTGCTGCTGCTGATGCTGCAGCAGCTGCTGCTGCTGCTGCTGCAGCAGCTGCTGCGCTGCTGCCGCAAACTTCTGTTCAACTCCTTAAACACTTCTGTTCGAAATACATTTTCCGTCGAAGAGAAAAACTCCTCCAAACAAACCCCGTGGCTCTTTTCGTATTCAAATGCCTGCAAACCCTAAACCCTAAATCGGGGTTTCAGAAAGGGTTTGGCAGATCCTAGGGTTTGGCAATTTCTAGGGTTTGACAGTTTCTAGGGTTTGACAGTGTCTAGGGTTTGGCAGTTTCTAGGGTTTAATAATTTTTAGGGTTTGCGGAGTCTTTAGGGTTTTCAAGGGGTTTAGCTTTTTGTAGGAAGTTTAGGACTTCGGGAAGGGTTTGGGGTTTTTAAGGGTTTAGGGTTTTAGGGTTTGGGTTTTCCCAAGGGTTTAGGGATGTCTTAGGGTTTAGGACCTGTCCAGGGCTTAGCGTCTGCCTAGGGTTTAGCGTTTTACGAGGGCTTAGGGTTTGCCTAGGGTTTAGGGTTTGTCGAGCGTTTGGGGTTTGTCTAGGGTTTAGGGTTTGTCTAGGGTTTAGGGTTTGTCTAGGGTTTAGGGTTTGTCTAGGGTTTAGAGTAGAGGCGCGGGCGCTGCAGCGCCTCCGCTGCGGCTGCCGGCGGGAGGCTAAAAAGGGTTTAGGGTTTAGGGTTTAGCGTTTAGGGTTTAGGGTTTAGGGTTTTCTCACCTTTGCTATCATGTCGAACTTGTCCGCGTCTTTAACCAGCATCGCCTCAGGGGTTTCGCCTGCAGCAGCAAAAGGAGTTTTGGAATTCAAAAAGAAATAAAATAAAATAAAATTAAATAAAATTAAATTAATTTAAATAAATAAATAAATAAATAAATAAATAAATAAATAAATAAATAAATAAATAAAATGCACGAATTCATTAAATCCCATTTTTGCAAATTCAACTTTCTGGAATTTCATTTTTGAATTTCATTTTTTAAAATTTGAATTTCCGAAATCCAAACTTTTGAAACTTCTTCTTGAAATCCAATTTCTTGAAATTTGAATTTTTTTTTTGAAATATAAATTTTTTTAAACTTCAATTTTTGAAACTTCGAAATTTGAAATTTGAATATTTTGAAACTTCAACATTTGAAAATTCAAAACTCGAAATTTGAATATTTGAAACTTGAAAACTTGAAACTTGAATAATTTGAAACTTGAATAATATGAAACTTGAATATTTGAAACTTAAATAATTTGAAACTTGAATAATTTGAAACTTGAATAACTTGAAACTTGAATAATATGAAACTTGAATATTTTTGAAACTTGAATATTTTTTGAAACTTGAATAATTGAAACTTGAATATTTTTTGAAACTTAAATAATTTGAAACTTGAATATTTTTGAAACTTGAATAATTGAAACTTGAATATTTTTTGAAACTTGAACAATTTAGAACTTGAAAATTTGAAACTTGGATATTTTTTGAAACTTGAAAATTTAAAACTTGAAAAGATGAAACTTGAAACTTGAAACTTGAATATTTTTTGGAATTTGAAACTTGAAAGTTTGAAACTTGAACTAAAAGAGAAGCACCTCGTTCGTATTCTTCCCAAAGCGCGAGGACTTCTTGTGCGCGTTTGTTGTCGAGGAATTTGCAAATGAAAAGAAAAGCATTTTTTTCTTTTTCTTTTTTTTCTTTTTCCGAAATGCCATCCAGCGGAGTTATGTCTCCCACGACGGCTTCCGCGAGGTCGTGGGCCAGGGCCATTGCGGCGCACCTGCGGAGTTCGAAGCAAAAATAAAAATCTTTTTCGAAATTAAAAATTAAAAACTTTTTATAATTCCAAATTAATTCCAAATTCACAATCTCCACGAAAAGAGACACAGAGCAGCGCAAAAACCAGCAAAAATGCACTCAAATTCGCAACAATAATTCTAAAAGCAGCCAAACAGCAGCAGCAGCAGCAGCAGCAGCAGCAGCAGCAGCAGCAAACTGCTGCTGCTGCGCAGCAG